TGCTGGTAATATTAAGAGGAGGTCACAGCATAAAATATGCAGGTATCTCAGAGGCCCCAAGATAGAGAAATACTTATAATATGTGTTTAGGAACACATTACTCACTAAAGAGCAACACACACTGGGAAGAGGTTGGTCCTAGTTCTTAAGCCCTATTACCACAGTGTTTCCAAAAGCCAAATCCTAACAACAGGCACACCATTTGAACTGCCATGATTTTGCTTTTCCTAACACTGGGAATCAGTTGTATTGGGAGGGGATGTGTGTCCGTGTGGCAACTCAGAGCAAGTGATTCAGCCCTCCCAAACACACTGGGACTTGCTGCTGCCTCAGATCAAGGGGAAAAGTTATGGAAGCAGCCACAGGAATCTGAGAACTGGGGAAAAAAAGAGAAATTTCAGTCTGTTTGAGGTGGCAAGAAGAAATTAATGCCATTTATACTGTTCCTCCTTGGCAATATTAGAATGGATGCAACAATTATTGCTCTCTGCAACTCCCTGACAGGAGGCTGAAGCCAGTGGGATTGGGCTCTGCTCCCAGGGAAGAAAGGACAGGAGCAACCTACACTACCCTTGAGTTGGGTAGTGTAGGCTCAGGTTGGATATTAGCAAATATTTCTTCACTAGAAGGGTGGCCAAGCATTGGAAGGGGCTGCCCAGGGCAGTGGTGGAGTCTCCATCCCTGGAAGTGTTCAAAAGACATGTGGACGGGGCACTTGGGAGCACAGTTTAGTGGTGAACACACTGGTGCTGGATAATGGTTTGACTCCATGGTCTTAGAGGTCTTTTCCAATCAAAATGCTTCTATGAATTCACTGTTTTACCTTTGGCTTTCTCTGAGAACAGAGTCCTGAGACATCCAGACAATGTAAGGAGCCATTTGGCTGCAGCAGAGGCCAATAACAGAATCACAGAATCAGAGAATCAGTCGAGATCATCAGGTCCAACCCTTGATCCAACCCCGCTGTGGTTCCCAGCCCATGGCACTGATGCCACATCCAGTCTCACCTTAAACACCTCCAGGGACAGTGACTCCACCCAATCCCTGGGCAGCCCATTCCAATGGCTGATCACTCTCTTTGGAAAGAATTTCTTCCCAATATCCAACTAAACCTCCCCTGGCACAGCTGAAGACCCAGCCCTCTTGTCCTCCTGCTGCTTCCTGGGAGAAGAGCCCGACCCCCACCTGGCTCCCCCCTCCTGTCAGGGAGTTGTAGAGAGTGATGAGGTCTCCCCTGAGCCTCCTCTTCTTCAGCCCCAGCTCCCTCAGCCTCTCCTCACAGCACTTGTGCTCCACTCCCTTCCCCAGCCTTGTTGCTCTTCTCTGCACCTGCTCCAGCCCCTCAATGTCCTTCCTGAGCTGAGGGCCCAGAGCTGGACACAGCACTCCAGGGGGGGCCTCACCAGTGCTGAGTCCAGGGGAAGAATCACTGCCCTGCTCCTGCTGCCACACTGTTCCTGATCCAGGCCAGGATCCACTGGCCTTGTTGGCCATCTGGGCACACTCTGGCTCCTGTTCAGCTTCCTGTCCATCCCCACTCCCAGGTCCCTTCCTGCCTGGCTGCTCTCCAGCCACTCTGTCCCCAGCCCATGGGGCTGCCAGGGGTTGTTGTGGCCAAAGAGCAGGACCCGGTCCTTGGCCTTGTTGAACCTCATCCCGTTGGAATCAGCCCAACTCTCCAGCTTGTTCTATGTCTCAATACTAGGACCAGATGAAGTTATTTCTCCTGCAGTGTTTGTTCTGCTCTGCAATCTGTGCCTTGATCTAGTTCAGGGAAGGTTAATACAAAATATTTGTAAGTTGTCAAGCCAAAGGCTAAAAGTGGGACTCTAAAGAATATCCCAGTGTGTCTCCCCCCTCCTCTGGCCACAAACAGCAGGGTGATTATGGGTGTGCTGCTCATTCTGTCTGATATCCCATAAATGATATATGACACCATCAGATGTCCACAGTTGGTTAACAGAATCCTATTACACAGGAAAAATTACAGTGCTTTGGGTAAAGAGCTGGGCTCTGAAACATGACAAATGTGAACAGAGCAGTGGAAGCCCAAGAGGACTTGGAGACCTCAGTAATAATACAAATAATGTTCTGAGGACTAGAGGGGCTGAATCTGTAATGGTGACACGAGTTCCCTGCTTGGCCCCACAACTGCTTTAATTCTTGCTTCTGCTTTCCTCTAGTCCAGTTCTGTGTTATTAAAGACTGCATGGCTTTTATGTTGGAGCCTACAGTGCATATGCACCCGGTTTATTCCCTATCTGGGGTCTCAAACAATGCAATAAAATAGTTAATCAAATACCAGCTTCTAAACAAAGTGAAAACACAGGTACTGCTAAGAGGAGACACATCCAGTTCATGGTCCTGGAGCCAGAGTTGAGCTGAGTGGGAGGGAATGGGTGGCCTGTAATTGTTCTCACTTGGCTTCCAAGACTCTGCACTCCCCTCTGCTGCTCTGTCACCTGGATCAGCCACACAAGGTGTCCCCTTGTGGATCCATCACATCTCACACAGGGACAGAACAGGGTCTGGACTGCAATCTCCACCTTCTCCCCACCTCTGTAAATTTTGGATCTGGGAAGTTCATCTATAAGCTCCAATTAAACCACCCCTTCTGTGCCAGACATCTCTTGTGACCAAGGTTCATAATTTCTACCACCTGACAAATTAATGCCATCTGCCCAACAAAAGCAGATATTAAAGCTGGGTTTTTTCACAAGTCCTCTCAACTGCCACTCAAAATACCACTGTCCTACCTGTCACTGGCAGTCTGGAAACAAGGTAACATCTTCATCTCGGCAATATATGTAATATTTAATTATGTCCACTGATCTGGTGCAAAAGTCAGCCTGTCACCTGACAATACTCACTTAATACTTTGATTTATTTTCTTTCTCATTTAAAAGATCAGCTGCTTGTCCTCTGTCCCAAGCCTGTTCTGTTCCCAGTCTAAAACCTTTTATTGCTGAAATCATTACTCCCAGCTCCATCCTGGTGTTCCAGCTTCTCCCTTGTCTTTCAAAAGAATCTTTTTGTTGATCATGTGTGGGAAGAGCTTCCAGGAGAGCAAGAACCAGTTTTTGATCCTAGTAATCCCCTTCTTAAATTCCCCATTCCCACACCACCTGCTCTGAGAGTGCACAAGCTGCTGTTATTGAGGCCACAGAGTTAAACTGGATTTCTTCCCTGAACCCAACTACTGATGAAAACAATCAACCACAGTCATAGAATCAGAATGGTTTGGGTTGGAAGGGACCTCAAAGCTCATCTTGTTCCACCCCCTGCCATGGGCAGGGACACCTCCCACTAGCCCAGGCTGCTCCAAGCCCCGGCCAACCTGTCCTTGGACACTTCCAGGGATCCAGGGGCAGCCACAGCTTCTCTGGGCAATCTGGGCCAGGGCCTCCCCACCCTCACAGGGAACAATTTCTTCCCAATATCCCATCTAAACCTACTCTGTCAGTTTGAAGCCATTCCCCCTTGTCCTGACACTCCAGGCCCTTGGAAATAGTCTCTCTCCATCTTTCTTGTCAGCCCCTTCAGGCCCTGGAAGGTCACAATCAGGTCACCCCAAAGCTTCTCCTCTCCAGGCTGAACAATCCCAACTCTCCCAGCCTTTCCTCCCAGCAGAGCTGCTCCAGCCCTCTGATCCTCTTAGGGCCTCCTCTGGACTGGCTCCAGCAGCTCCATGTCCTTGCTGGGCTGTTCCCAGGGCTGGAGCAGCTCTGCAGGGGGGTCTCCCCTGAGGGGCAGAGGGGCAGAATCCTCCCCTGCCCTGATGCCCACGCTGGAGGATCAGCCCAGGGCACGGGGGGTTTCTGGGCCGGGGCAGGTCCAGCCTCTGCCCCACCAGCACCCCCAGGGCCTTCTGCCAGGGCTGCTCCATCTGCTCATCCCCAGCCTGGATTGATCCCAGGGGTTCTCCTGACCCAGGGGCAGCACCAGCACTTGGCCTTGTTAAACCTCCTGAGATTCCCAGGGGCCACTGCTCAAGCTTGTCCAGGTCCCCCTGGATGGCCCCGTCCTTCAGGTGTGTCACTGCACCCCCAGCTCAGAGTCACCTGCAAACCTGCTGAGGGGACACTCGATCCCTTCATCTTTGTCCATCAGCCCTATGACACAGACAACAATTTGCTCTGAACACAATCCTATTTGAAAACAGGTACCTTTAAAAATACCCATCAAACCCACCCAAACCAACTCAAACATTTAATTCTTTCAAAAATTCAGTGTGCTGGGAAAAGGCTTCTTACAGGAAAAAAACCACGTTTGAGCAACTTCCTTCTTAAAAGTCTAACAGAAAAGCCTCAGGGAATGATGGTAAAAGCCAAAATTCCATTGATTTCTGTGACTGACTTGGAACCTGCCAGGGAAGAGCACGGATTTTTAGGGAACAGGTGACCTGCATCTCAGAACTGAGAAATATTGCAGACAGAGAAGTATCACAGAAGCCTTCCTGCATTGTCACCAAATAATTGGAGACATTTACTTTCCCTAAAATAATTCTGAGTTCAGTAGAGACTGACAAACAGAATTACTCAAAACCATATGGCAGTTCCCAGCACCTGCAGATACACAGGAAGCTGAACCCCAGATTGATTCATAAATGCTGAATTCTTTCCACAGACTTGGATTTACACTGAAGTTGCTGGAGATGGAGTTCACATTTGTGAGCTGTGCTTTTGGTCCTGTTACAATTTTTGCTCCTTAGCTAAGCTACAAGTAATTAAACTGTCTTCTCTCCCCAAGCTCACAAAAATCAAGCAACTGCTCAAAAGGACTTGACTGAGAGACAGAGCTGCACCTGAAACACGACTGGGTCATTTTTGCAGATAATTCCATTAGGGGCTGGTTTCAGCCTTTCAGGGATTCTGAAGGACAAAATGTTTATGCATGTGTCAGGTCTTCCTTGTACCTCATAAACCTGTGATTCAATATTTAACTACATAATTGCACACAGAAAAGTATAACTTTTCTGAGTGAGCAGTGGCTGCTCTCACCATGACCCTCACGGTGACGGTGGCCAGCCCAGGAGGCATCGTGCCCTTGCTGTCGAAGGCTTCCACCAGGAAGGTGAAGGTGGCTTCTGCGTCAGAGAATGACTCATAATCCAAGGATTTCAGCAGGGACAACTCGCCCGTGTGCCTGTTCAGTGCAAAATACTGTCGTGCCTCCTCCGTGCGGATCCGATAGTTCACGTCCGAGCCCAGATCAACATCCTTCGCCTGCGGGAAAACAAAGGGACTTGAAACCAAACAAAGCCCTTTTTCACAAAACATCCCTACTAGATTTAAAGGATATATAAAAGAAAACTGCTGCAAACAAGTGGAGTTTTGTTATATTGCTCTAATTGTATTCGATGCACACAGACACAAGCAATCAAATTCACTGAGGGGTCTAAAAACCAGAGGTACCTGCCACAGGAGACAAGGACAATATTCAGGGAAAGAGGCAATGGAAGATGAGTCTGGTCTTGTTCTCTTCCCTGGAGCACCTGCTATCAGCCACTACCAGGGAGAGGATCAAGGAATCCTAGAACTGTTTGGGTTGGAAGGGACCTTCAAGACCATCTCATTCCACCCCCTGCCAGGGGCAGGGACGCTTTCCACTAGCCCAGGTTGCTCCAAGCCCAGTCTAACCTGGCCTTGGACACTTCCAGGGATGGGGCAGCCACAGCTTCTCTGGGCAAAAAGACTTCCCCCACACTGCAGTTCCCAATCTCTGCCTGCACTCTCACTGCCAAGTTAAATCAATCACACAACATCTTCCTCACTCCTTGACTTCCTCACCTCTATCTTGAGGAAGACAGTGCCTGGGGGTAGATTTTCTGGCACGTAGACGGTGTAGGAAGCGTTGGTAAACACAGGACTGTTGTCATCAATATCCAGCACCTTGATGGCCAAGGTGAGCGTGGAGCGACGGGGATCCGCGGCTCCGTCTGTGGCCTCAACGATGAGCTCGTAGTAGTCCCTCACTTCTCTGTTGAGCTTCACTGCTGTGTAAATGCTGCCATTGGATGTGATCCTGAACAGGTTGTTGAAGTTTGCCAGGCTGTAATGGACCTGCCCATTGACCCCAGCATCTGCATCTGTAGCCTGGAGGAACAGCAGAAGAACCATGTTTTAATGCACATACTCAACACGGCTCCCCCAGAGAAAGCAGGTAACCTGGGGAAGGGTTCTACAGAGCACCACTGCTTGTGTGGCTGCCTAGAGGTGCTTCTTTAGGGCACCCTGCCTCTCCCTGAGGTTTTACCAAAGGGAAAATACCCCACAGAAACAAATGGCTCGATTTGCAATGACAGAAGGCAGGTAACCGGATCCCAACTGGAATTCTTCAGGAGGAGAGATAGTTAGTTGCTCAGCTTTGGACAACTTTTGACAGAACAAGAGGGAACGGCCTCCAGCTGTGCCAGGAGAGGCTCAGGTTGGACAGGAGGAGGAATTTCTCCATGGAAAGGGTGGTCAGGCCTTGGCAGGGGCTGCCCAGGGAGGTTTGGAGTCCCCATCCCTGGAGGTGTCCCAGGAAGGCCTGGCCGTGGCACTCAGTGCTCTGGGTTGGAGGACAAGGTGGCCATTGGGCACAGGGGGGATTGCAAGGTCCTGGAGATCTTTTCCAGCCTCAATGATTCTGTGAATCAAATCAGTCCTGCAGAATGTGGCAAAGATGTTTATGCCTGAGGATGGACACAAGTGAGTTCACAACATACACAGTCATGTTTTTAGGAACCAAATTGCAAAGCCTGCCATAGATTTGAAAATAATTTTAATTTACATTCCCATAAAGCAAGCTTATCTAATCCAAAACTTACTTCCAAATTAACCTAATACAAAAATGTTGTCTCATGAGAATTTGTTCTCCTGGTTTCCAATTATAGGAGTATTTCAGATTACTTTCGGAGTTTCCTGTGGGGTTTTGTTTGTTTGGTTGTTTTTTTGTCCGGATCAGTTATTTCTATGGAGGAAACAGAACTGATTGGAAACTAAGCAGATCCAACCATCCACTGACAGATGTCAATTAAAAGGACAATTATCCACAGACCAGTCAGGATGAAGTCACAGCCACCCCTGCTTAGCACATGGATGTAGTACAGGGAAAAAGCACAGTGATCTTTTTCTTATTAACAATTTTAATTAACTTTTAATTGATTTCCAGGAAGACAAAAGGTTTAATTACCAAGTCTTACAATGAACACTTCCACCAGAATGAAACATTCGGGCAAACTTCCTGACAACTGTTCTGAAAACAAAACATGCAAATCTCTCATGATCATCCCAGATGTCATTTATAAAGGCAAATAAATGAGAATGCCTTGCTCACGGGATGCCCTTTGTTTCATTTACATAACCTTACTCATCACACCATAATTTAATTAAGAGGAGGAAAAAAAAACAGGTCAGCATTCAAACCTGGGAGCTCTTGGAAAAGCATATGAATTATGTCCATCCCTATAAGGACAGTCATGAATTAATTGGCTGCTACCAAAATTGGATGTTCAGTGTGTGAGAACAGAGACACCAAGTGAACACACCTTAACAGTTTTCTGCTGCAATGATTGGCCTCTTCTGAGAGCAGAGGAACAAGGATGAAACATGGTAACATTTGGTTTTGAAGAACAGGATGAACAAACTGTAGAAAACTAAGTAGTTCTTCAGAGAGCGGCGATTAAAACATCACTGGATGTGACAAAACGTGTTAAGGGAAAAGCCAAATTCTAACTAATGTGTCCATTCCAGCTGTCTGCATCCATCCTCCATCTAAGGACATACTCCAGAATTATTTGGGCAGCGCTGAAACACCCAAATCAAACAGTGTCAAACAAAAATTCCCCTCAGACACCACCTGAAGATCCTCCAGCATTAGGATTATCTGAGGGCTTGGCTTCACAAGCATCTGGTTTGTTAAGCTGGGCCACAGCACAACACGTGTTCAGACCAAGAATCCCTCCCTGATGTTTTGGCATCTGCTCCTGACTTTTTCCAGTCAGTGCTTTCTCTCAAAATCTCTCTGCTGGGAGGAAGGACAGGATGTCAGCTCTGGGGCCTCTCCACAAACCAGTTTCCGTGGCAGTTTTCAGCTCTACCCATGACACACAAATCACAGATGTTATTTTTCTCTGGGCTACACAAATAACCTTAGTAATTTCTTCTATTAGCTAAGGTCCATTAGGAATAAAAAGAAGTATCAGGGAAAGCACTGAGCCCAAAATTGGCCGGGTTTTTTTCTATCCCCCACAGTGCAGCCTCGTTGAACCCCCTCCACTCCTGATCTCCTGTGTGTGTGCAGGCCATGCACAGAGCACATTTCCTCCCCTGCAATAAGCCAAAGCTGTCAAAGCTGGGGGCAGCACAAGTGATAATCCATGTTTCCAGAGAGGATCACTTACTCTTCCCCCTCCACAGTGGGATGTGAACACCTGACAACTGCAGAACAAACTGACTCATTTCTGCTACAAGATTTTTTTGTTGCATCCAGCCCTAACCCAACTCTTCCCTCCCTTCATCCCCACAGCTGGCAAAGGGAAGGAAAGTTCCAGTGCCTGTAGAGGCAGAAGTGGTGATATTTAGTGTGCATGGTGGGATTTGGCCAAAGGTTGGACTTGGTGATCTTGGAGTCTTTTCCAACCTTAGTGATTCCCAGAGCACGAAGGAGCCTGGGGCACCCTCAGCCATTACAGGAACACTCCTGCAACACCTGAGGGTCCAGCACAGCCCCCCCAGGACCTGCCAGGTATTCTGGTGTTCCACCACCTGCAATCACATGTAATCCCTGGGAAATGGGGAGAGGGAACTAAGCTGATTTTGCTTTGCTGGGAAAAAGAATAATTTGGAAACATCCCTCTGCATGCTCAGAGATTTTCCTCTGCTCTGAGCGAAACTGGTCCAAGCAGCCTGACAGGGAAATTTACTGCCCCAGAGTTACCCAATTGAAGAGCTCATAAATTCCCTTCAGCCAGTGTGGCCAAAAACCAAAATGGACACATTTGTCAGGATAGAGGAGCCTGTTTTACCTAAGTTTAAGGTAATTTTGTTTTTTTCAATTAAGAACATCTGCAGGAGCATAAATTAGACTTAAAAAAAAGAAAATAAAACAATCCCTTACTGACTGGCCCTTCTTGCCAGTGCTGCAAGAGACACAGAAAGGTGAGGTGCCCGTTTCCACCTCTCCCATCCCACAGAATCATAGAATCCCTAAATGGTTTGGGTTGGAAGGGATCTTAAAGATCTCCTTGTTCCACCCCCTGCCACGGGCAGAGACACCTTCCACTAGCCCAAGTTGCTCCAAGCCCTGTCCAACCTGGCCTTGGACACTTCCAGGGATCCAGGGGCAGCCACAGCTTCTCTGGGCAACCTGGGTCAGGGCCTCCCTGCCCTTACAGGGAAGAGTTTCTTCCCAATATCCCATCTAACTCTGCCCTCTGGCAGCGGGAAGCCATTCCCCCTTGTCCTGTCACCCCAGTTCCCAATGAACAGTCCCTCTCCAGCTTCCCTGTAGCCCTTTCAGACCCTGGAAGGTGCTGTGAGGTCTCCACACAACCTTCTCTGAACATTCCCAGCTCTCCCAGCCTGTCTCCACAGGGGAGGTGCTCCAGTCCCCTCAGCAACTTGGTGGCCTCCTCTGGATTTGCTCCAACAATTCCATGTCCTTGTGATGCTGGGACACCAGAACTGTGCACAGTGACCCAGGTGGGGCCTCACCAGGGCAGAGTACAGGGGGAGAATCCCTTCTCTGGACCTGCTGCCATGTTCCTTTTGATGCAGCCCAGGATACATCTCATGTTTATTCAGAATTAGGAACACCACGTTCCCCTGCAGAGCCAGAGCAACTACTGCTCTTCTTCCAGTAACTCCTCAGATCCACATGAAAACTCTCATTTCCATCATTAACTTACAAAGTACTGCTTCATAAAACTCAAATAAATTGCTACTTTATTTCCCAGGAAATGCATCCCATATTTTTTAGAGATACCATCATCTCCAAGGTCACAGCCTTTACCTGTTGTGGTAAACTGAAATTTGTATTACCAACTCTGCTTCAACATTCCTAGGATATTCCTAAGAATATAAAGCAACGGTATTCCAGGCTAACAAATTATCTTCCTCCGTCTCAAACAGCTTGAAAACACAGTTCTGGGAGATCTGAATTACCAAAATGCCTCTTGAAGGATCATTAACTCTGCAATATAATGACAAGGGCTTTAATGTCAACAATATTAATTATATCATTATCATTCTTTTCAAAGGAAACCTTCCACTAATACCCACAACTCTTGCTCATGATGGGGAACAGGATTTAGGCAGGTTAATTGAGGATTTGGGGTTGGACTGTTGGAGCTGGAGAACAGCAAAATAAGGCAGTGGGTTGTTATTCCTACACAGCTGAGGGAACACAATGGGAATCCTAAAGTTGAAACACTTCTCAGGGACCACTTTACCACCAAACCAACTTCCTCCAGGTTAAATTTCCCTTCCTGAGGGACAGAAGTTCCCTGCAATCCCCTCCCAACCCAACAGAAGCTCCTGATCTCCCCCAGCTTCCCAGTATCCCAGCAAACACCACAGCTCCAGGAAGGGATGGAAATTGTGCTGGAGGATCCAAATGATGCTGTTGGTGAGAATTACTGTTTGCATGGCTGATAACATGATTTTTTTATTACTATGGGTTTAATAGGGTTATTATTGAGGGTTTAATGGGTTTATTATTATGGGCTGGAAATATTCCCAAGCCCTTCATTTGTGTCAAACAGCAAATCAAGTGTGGGTGGGAGTGTTAAATTGGATTTTGTACTTGTTTTGCAGGGATATTCCTGTTTGTGCCCACAGGACTAAATTAACATCTCCCAAGTGCAGTAAGAGGCCACAAATATTTGAAATGTTCTTGACCTCCTGGTATTTATTTATGAATATTTTAAGGAAGGAACATCAGTCATCCACAAAAGTTTGGATTTTCCTCTTGCCTAAACTTCAGAAAGGCTTTTCCTTTCTTTCATTCCTTTTTGCCTGATTTTATACAGACTTTCCCTTCTCTATTTCGTTTATTATGTGTTCTAAGCAAAGCAAAAGATGAGGAGGTACCAACACAAAACTTAATGGTG